TGTGTGTGATTTTTTGTTTTATTCCTTCCAGTGCTTTGAATGAAGCTCACTATCAATCTAGTCCCTAATCTGTCTAAATTCAAATGACTTCTTTTGTGCATCTCCTTGTTCAGTTAATACTGTTGGTGAGGCTTGGGGGCAGCTTACTGATTTACAAGCTTCACTTCAGAGACAGTCAGTGTCAAAAACCAGCGTTTCATCAGCTGAGATGCTTAGAGGATTTGGAGCCAGGAATGTTTGTCAGTGAAAAGGAGCGATTTGTTTAAAATCACTGGTTTGGCCAGTCAAGGGACTGGCTTCTGTGAATTCATCTCTAGCACATGAGGAAGGTTGTGAGCTTATCTGGGAAACTGACCCCTTCAGACCCTTCCATCTTTGGTAAAGTGTGTGATTATTTCCCAGTTGACAAGCTGCTATCATGTTGCTCATACCATCCTAGGCTAGGAAACCCCCACCCCATGGTCTGCCTGGATTATATCAAGCACTGCAACTTGTTTCATTTTGCTTTTAGAATTTCTGATGTGAAACATTTCTAAAGGCTTTCTTCGATCTGTGAAACAGTGTGGCTTCTGCTTTATGTTTTGGGTTTTTTTTGGCCACAAGACTGGTGGGATCTTACCTGCCCGCCCAGGGATCGAACCTGCACCCCCCGCCCACCCCTGCTTTGGAAGGTAGAGTCCTAACAACTGGACCACCAGGGAGATCCATCAAATGCTGTATTTTGACAGTTAGACTAGGAAAGCAGTATGCTCTCATAGGGAATATAAAATCACTTGCATTCATTCTGGTCCTGCAACGGGAACTCTGACATACTGGGGAAAAAAACAAACGAAAAAGGGGAAGGATGGGGGAAGGGACAGTCAGGGAGTCTGGGATGGACGTGGACACGCTGCTGTGTTTAACATGGAGAGCCAGCAAGGACCCGCTGGACAGCTCAGGGAACTCTGCTCAATACTCTGTAATAACCTGATGGTCACCAGGGGGAAGGATGGGGGAAGGGATAGTCAGGGAGTCTGGGATGGACATGGACACACGGCTGGATTTACCATGGAGAACCAGCAAGGACCCGCTGGACAGCACGGGAAAGTCTGCTCAATGTCACGTGGCAGCCGGGATGGGAGGGGAGTTTGGGGGAGAATGGAAACCTGTATATGTGTGGCTGAGTCCCTTCGCTGTCTACCTGAAACTATCACAACACTTTTAATCAGTTATACTCCAATACAAAATATAAGGTGAAAAAAAAAAAAAACTGAAAAAAAGCCATCCCTGGTTGTAGCAGTAAATGAAGATTCCACGTCAGATGGCATGGAAACACCAGCTTCAAAACACCCCACATTCGGGGTTCAGAGACACATGGAAAGCTGTTTCCTGCAGACCTTTTGGAAGGAGGTTAGAATTGCAACATCAAACCTTTCCATGGGATGCTTTTAGAAGAAGTAGGCTTTGCCAGGGTGCAGAATGTTAATGGTCCCTCCTATCGTCGAGGTTATTGGACAGTCACGTTCTGCAGGAGAGACGGTCATGTTTCACTGTGAATTGAGGGCCTCTGATTTCCTAAAGAACTTGTTTACCATCCATTGCAAATCACAGTCTCACCTCCAGAAAAATAAGTGAGGAGGTCATTCCGTGAGAGCAAAGTGTAGGAGAGAGGTGGATGGGGGAGGGATGGGTTAAAACCATAACAGTTCTGCCAGAAAATTCCTGGAGCCTTTAGGAAGGAATCACCTCTTTGCTGAATGGAGGGAGAGAAGCTTTCTCTTTGTGGTTATTATGCGGTACCCAGACCATCATTATCAGTCGGCTTCGTCCATAAAGCCGAGTGAAAGAGGCTTTTCCCCCAGAGCATAGTGGGATTCATTTTATGAGAAGGCATGTAATATGCAGGAGGGATGAATGCAGGGGGCGGGGGGGGGTTTCCAGAACATTCTCAGGCAGGAAAGACTAATTAGGAATTGCTAATTACATAAGGGAGCACCTGGTAATGTCTGCACAGTCCCATCCTTTCACTTAACTAGAAGCCACCCCCGTGAACTCTCGAGGGGAGGGGATTTGTGTGACGTTCCGGAAATGTGCATCCTGGCAGTTGACATCCTTGTGCGCACTCGGGCATGGAGATTGGCAGTCCAGATGATTGTAATTTCTGAGCAACAATGGCAAAGAAAACCATTCTTGCTGCTTTTTTTTTGAACCAGGCCATTATTTCCCAAGCCCCTCCTGGTTCACACACCCCATCATGCATAAGTACATGGGCAAACTATGGGGAGGTAACCTCCTTCCTTCCCATAGGTTGGTGTAAGAGCTCATCCTTTACGATTTTGTTTTAGATTTTGAGAAGCTGGTACTCTGGGGTTTCTTGGGTTGCTGCCGGCTTTGCTTGTACGCTCAGCTGCTCAACCGTGTCTGACTCTTTGGGACCCCATCGATGGTAGCGCGCCAGGCTCCTCTGTCCAGCGGATGTCCCTGATAAGAATACTGGAGCGGGTTGGGTTGCCATTCCCTTCTCCAGGGGATCTTCCGACCCAAGGATCAAACCCACATCTCCTGCTTGTCAGATGAACTCTTAACTACCGAACCACCTGGGAAGCCCTCCAGCTTTGCTTAGGGATGTCTTTGAAGGCATTGGTTCTCATTTCTGTTATTTTCAGTCCCAAATAGTCTGTCTTCATATAAACACTGTACTTACTGGCCATGCTTATTTAATAAGCAGTCCCTGAAATATGTGCCTATCATAGCCTTTGCAATAAAGAGGAAAATAAAGGGGAAGAAGTGGAAGCGATGACAGATTTTCTCTTCCTGGGCTCTAAAATCACTGCAGATGGTGACTGCAGCCATGAAATTAGAAGGTGCTTACTAAGAACGAAAAGCTATGACAAACTCAAGCAGTGTATTAAAAGCAGATAAATCACTGCCAGCAAAGGTCCATGTAGTCCAAGCTACGGTTTTTCCAGTGGTCACGTACGGATGTGAGAGTTGGCCCATAAAGAAGGCTGAGCACTGAAGAACCGATGCTTTTGAACTGTGGTGTTAGAGAAGACTTGAGAGTCCCTTGGACAGCAAGGTGATCAAACCAGTCCATCCTAAAGGAAGTCAGTCCTGAATATTCATTGGAAGGACCGATGCTGAAGCTGAAGATCCAATACTTTGGCCACCTGATGGGAAGAACTGACTCACTGGAAGAGACCCTGATGCCGGGAAAGATTGAGGACAGGAGGAGAAGGGGGCGATAGAGGATCAGGTGGTTAGACGGCATCACCAGTTCAATGGACATGAACTTGGGCAAACTCTGGAAGATAGTGGTTGACAGGGAAGCCTGGTGTGCTACAGTCCATGGGGTCACAGAGAGTCGGACACAGCTTCCAACTGAATACCGACAACACAGAGGAAATATATTGGGACTCTGTGTAGGGTCATCTAAGAATGGGAAGTAGCGGGGGAGAACTTTTTATGACTCTGTTCTTCCCCCCAGAAGGCTTACTCAAGACAGATTTGCATGTAAAGTTGGATTAAAGTTTGCGCTAGTATTTAAGCTCGGCAGACGCTTCATAAAATATTCATAGTTTTAAATCTGAGCCAGAGAGCATCTGTCTGTCCCATACAAAGACTTCAAGCATCAGAGGAAAGCAGAGGTTCCAGGTCAAGATATTTCTGCAGTGTGAACCCAAAAGGGCATGTAATCTCAAAAATCAAAAAGCTGATCATTTTGCCGCAAAGAATGCCCAGATGGTCTTCTTTGCAGCTTTTCAGGTGGCATTTAGGATCTGATGCCTTGAGTGATATCTCATTCCTTAAGTTACACTTTTTAAAATTAAAACTAAAAACTAAAATCCTCCTAGTTTTTAAAAGAAAGTTTCACAGTCCATGCTATTTTGGGGGGACAGTTGGGGAGATTTGAATATGCATTGCCTTTTCGCCAAGATTAAAAAATTGTAAGTTTCTGCATGTAACTGTAATATCCTTTTTAATATAGAAAAGTAGAGATGCATTCCAAACTATTTAAGAGTGGCATGTCATGATAGTTCTAATTTCCTTTGAAATTTGTGCGTTGAATGGGAGTTAAATGACATGTTCATGAGGACATCAATGGGCTAAAGGTAACCTGTACTGTTTTTATACACAGCACACATAATCTTATACACAATTTTATACACAGTGTACACAATCTTAAAGTCTGGTGCCGCACAGACATTTTTCCCTGAAAAAGTAGGCTTTTTTTTTCTGTTTGAAGTCTGTTTTGTTTTTCCGAGGAAAACCTAGATACACACAAGAGTAATGACTTGAATCTAGTGAAATGAATGTTGTTGTTTAATCACTGAGTCGTGTCTGACTCTTTGCGACCTCAGGGACTGTAGCTCACCAGACTCCTCTGTCCTTGGGATTTCCCAGGCAAGAATACTGGTGTGGGTTACTATTGCCTTTCCCAGGAAGTCTTCCTAACCTAGGGATTGAATCAGCATCTCTTGCATTGCAGGCGGACCCTTTACTGCCAGCCTCTAAAATGTATAGGTTTCCGATATTGTCATGCACTGTGAATATTTTAGTTTCATTTTGCCTTATATGTCAACCCCATACAAAGCCCCAGTGAGAGATTTCATTATACTGTCAAAAGAAACAGGGCTTCTGGTAGCTCAGTTGGTAAAGAATCCGCCTGCAATGCAGGAGACCTGGGTGGGGAAGATCCCCTGGAGAAGGGAAAGGCTACCCACTCCAGTATTCTGACCTGGAGAATTCCATGGATTGTTGTAGTCCGTGGGGTTTCAAAGAGTCGGGCACAGCTGAGCCACTTTCACTTTCTTTTCCAATAGAAACAAACACCGTTGTAACTATTGTTTATATCATATAACCCTTTCTGCCATGAAAAGGTACAACTCTGTTGCTTCTGTATATACAGAGAAAAAGCAAACAAGAAACAAAGTGTCCCATGAAGTATCTTTCCAAGTAGCAGCGAGGCTGTGGCCGTATATCCTGTAAGTGACGACCCCAAAATCTGTGTTCTTCTGCAGGGTTTCTGAGCACCGGCGATCAGGCGGCCAAAGGCAACTACGGGCTCCTGGATCAGATCCAGGCCTTACGCTGGATCGAGGAGAACGTCGGGGCCTTCGGCGGAGACCCCAAGAGAGTCACCATCTTCGGCTCGGGCGCGGGCGCCTCCTGCGTCAGCCTCTTGACCTTGTCTCACTACTCAGAAGGTGAGCAGAGCAGCCCCCGCGCTGGGCAGGGGGCCCCTGGGAGCAAGAGCGGGAACCCTCTGTGAACCCCACGGAGTTCTTTTTTTAAAATATTGACATCATTGCATCTTATTATATATATATTATTGTATGTATATGTGCTACTGCTCCTGACACTAAGTTGCTTCAATCGTGTGCAACTCTGTGTGACCCTATGGACAGCAGCCCACCAGACTCCTCCATCCATGGGATTCTCTAGGCAGGAGTGCTAGAGGGGGTTGCCATTTCCTTCTCCAATTCTATATATATGATAATATACAATTACAATAATGGGAAGCGGTGACTTTGCCCACCTTCACTGTGCGTTAGGTCGGGGAAGCCACCCAGCCATCTCATCCTCTGCGGTGTATACATGACCACACGTGAGACAGACAGCAAGGAGGAATTTGCCGGGCGACACAGGGAAGTCAGTGCAGTGTTCTGTGATAATCGAGAGGGACGGGGTGGGGTAGGAGATGACAGGGGGCTTCGGGCGGGTGAAAGTGAAAGAAAGGGAAGCTCTCAGCCGTGTCCGACTCTCTGCGACCCCATGGACTGCCTACCAGCCTCCTCCATCCATGGCATTCTCCAGGCAAGAATACTGGAGTGGGTGGCCAGTTCCTTCTCCAGGGGACCTTCCCGACCCAGGGGTTTGAACCCAGGTCTCTGGCACCGTAGGCAGATGCTTTACCATCTGAGCCACCAAGGAAGTTGTGGATATACATACCTTTGGAGTTCTTATCCAAGACGCGTGCAGGGGGAGCCGTGGTGCCTCTTGAAACCTCCACAGAAAACGCCCCAAAGGACTTCCCTGGCGGTCCAGTGGTTAAGACGCCACAGAACCAGTGCAGGAAGCCCGGGACTTCCGAACTAGATCCAGCATGCCACAACTCAGACCCAGGGAAGTGAAAAGGTGTTAGTCGCTCAGTCGTGTCTGACTCTTTGCGACCCCATGGACTGTAGCCCACCAGGCTCCTCTGTCCCTGGGATTCTCCAGGCAAGGGTACTGGAGTGGGTTGTCATTTCCTTCTCCAGGAGATCCTCCCCACCCAGGGATTGAACCAGGGTCTTCTGCACTGGTAGGCAAATTCTATTCCAGCTGGGCCACCAGGGAACACCATACTGCCAAATAAATAAATTAATTACAAAAAAGAAGAAATTGCCCCCAAATGATGCGTATCCACATCCTCTTCTAACTTGGCTTGCTTTCTGATTTTTCTAATTGAGGTATAATTGACATATACCATTAGATATATTTCCTGGAGAAGGAAATGGCAACCCACTCCAATATTCTTTCCTGAGAAATCCCGTGGACACAGGATCCTGGCTTCCATGGGATCGCAAAGAATCAGAAATGACAGTGACTAACACTTGTATTATATATTTTTAATAATGTATATTTAAAATTATGATTGTTATCAAGTGTACAAGGTAAAAATTCGATCCTCATATATGGTGCAAAGCAACCACCACCATAAGTCCTGCTAACATTCATCACCATTGAGTTAAAAACTATTTTTCCTTCTCATCAGAATTTTAAGATCCCCTCTCTTGGCAACTTTTAAACATGCAGCAAAGGCTTCCCTGGCGTCTTAGTGGTAACGAATCTGCCTGCCAAAGCAGGAACCCAGCTTTGGGTTGGGAAGATCCCTGGAGGAGGAAATGGGAACCGTCACCAGTGTTCTTGCCTGGAGAATGCCATGTACAGAGGCGCCTGGTGGGTTACAGCCCATGAGGTCGCAAGGAGTCAGACACAGCTTAGCAACCGAAAAACGACAAACAGTATTATTAACGATTTTAACAAGATATTTTTTTCACTTAGACTTATGACCGATAGCCGTTGCTTACCATCACTGGAGGAAACTGACTTCTATAGAAATGCTTACACCCTGCATTTGCCTAGCTGAGTTGATTCAGTTAACTTTACATGTTATTAGCTTCAGTTTTCAACTTGGAAGAGGAAGTGTGAGAGGGAATCACTATGTGGATGATGGCTGCAGATTCGTAGGTTTCATGATAAACGCAGCTTGCAGCCATATGCTTATAGACTCAGGTCTTTGTTGCAAACTTAACTCAAGGTGATTCCCTCTGGTCCATTGTTGCTCGACAGATAAGAGATTTTTAAAATAGAAATGAGCAGGAGTTAGATGCAGGAGGTCTGGAGGTCTGGAAGCAGTGTAATAACTGCTGTGTCAGGATCTTCCTGACACTCCCTTCAAAAATGAAACAAAAAGAACAACAAAATAAAAAAGTGTAACCCTGGGATACTTTTGCAAATGCAGGTGAATGTTGACAATCATAGTCTGAATCTTCAAGGTCGGGTTATATTTCCTTCTCTGTCATTGGTTGGTTTAAGAATTTCACTTTATCTATGGTGAAACTGTATATCAAAACCACCTGAACTTTAAAGGAATTATTATTCTTTAAAGAGTCTAGCACTATCTTTCTTTAAACATATGTATTTCTGTTTAAAAAGATGCATCTTTCTTTAAAAATATGTGCTATTTAGTTGCTAGGTCATGTCCGATTCTTTTGCGACCCCATGGACTGTAGCCCACTGGGCTCCTCTGTCCATGGGATTTCCCAGGCAAGGATACTAGTGTGGGTTGCCATTTCCTCCCCTAGGGGATCTCCCTGACCCAGGAGTAAAACCTGATGCTCTTATATCTCCTGCATCGATGACTAGCTTTCTTTACAAATATGTATATTTCTTTATAAAGACATTTCTTTGACGATATAGGGGGAGGAATAAATGGGCAGACTGGAATTGACATATACACACACTACTCTTAATAAAATGGGTAACTAATTAACAACCTACTGTATAGCACAGGGAACCCTGCTTTATACTCTGTAGAGACCTATGTGAGAAAAGTCTAAAGAAGAGTGGACGTATGTATATGGATAACTGATTTGCTTTGCTGGACTCTTGAAACTGATGCAACATTGGACATCAAGCATACGCCAATAAAATGTCTTTAATGAAAAAAAATGTACCATATAAACGTGCTAAAAAAAAAGGGGGGGGGAAGTATAATGGTGCTGTGTGACAGCATCCTTTTTTTATTTTTATTTTTTGATACATGCACCGTGGTGGCCAAGTTTCTGCATTGACTGCAGTTCCCTGTACTATACAGTAAACCTTTGTGACTTTGTTGGTTATCTATTTTTTTTTTAAATTAGAAATCTAGCATTCTATTCATACTAAGTCAATCAAATGAAATCTGAATTTCTTGATTCTTATTTTTAAATGACTGTGGAGGAGTTGAATGAAAGGCTTACAATTTGTTAACCTTTTATTCAAAAAGGAAAAAAAAAATGAGTACGTTAGATCATTAGTGATAACAATTCCCATACCATTTCAGAAGATAATTATACTTTCCCATTTGTCAATGGCTGTCATCACAGTTCTCGATTTACAAAACGGTCAGGTCCAACCTCAGTAGTAATCAAACACACGTCAGCCCAAACTAATGGAGGAAGAGTGTTAATTACTTAAATCAATAGATCAGAAGTGATTATGGTAGTGCCTTGCATGGGTCATTTCTGCAAAGCAGCTCTCCAGTTACAGTCCAGCACTATAGAATCAGGATTTACCAGTCAAAGCATACCCCGACTGCTGACCTTGGAATTCCACTTCTCGTGACAGCACTTAATGAGACCAACATACAGAAGGGAAAAAGGTATTCTCATTGGAATGTCCACCACAGCGTTCTCATAGCAAAGAATGAAACAAAAAGCTCCAAAGCCGAAAAGATAATAATGTTATAAGAAACGTGCGTTCACTCAAAGGAATGATAATTTGCTTCAAGGATTGTGCTTAAAACACGCATTAGACTGGCACACCCAGTGTGAAGGGGTCAGTCAGCAAACCATCACCTTGACCGGGTACCACGTTTCCTTTGACCCTGTTGTGGACAAGGATGCCACTCCAGGCACTTCTCAGACCCTGATGGAGCAGGCAGAGTTTCTTAATTATGACATCCAATATACAATCCGGGTATTAGCCACAATTGGAAGAGACTCTGTTGGCTGGGAAAGACTGAAGGCAAAAGGTGAAGCGGGTGGCAGAGAATCAGATGGTTAGATGGCATCACTGACTCAATGAACATGAATTTGAGCAAACTACGGGGGATAGTGAAGGACAGGGAAGCCTGGCGTGCTGCAGTCCATGGGGTTGCAATGAGTTGGACACGACTTAGCCACTGAACAACAACAAAAATTGACTATGTTCAGACCAGTGGGGTGAGAAACACCAAGAAGGAAAGATACTAAAATTATTAAAGTAACTCCCCTTTTTATAGTATGAACTATAGGTGATATTTTCTTCAGTTTTTTTAGTTTTATCACCGGTTATATTAATACCACTTCCTTGACAAACAAATATATATACGCACACTGTGACATCAGTCATGGCCAACAACTATGAGAGAGAGAGAGAAAAAAATATATCCCGTCTACCAGCACTTTTCCAAATTCTGCTTGTCTTGATTTATGACTGTCTTTATTAGGTCAAATATGGACACTGTTTCCTTGAGGTGCTTTAAGGCACCCCAACCTATTTTGGCACCAGGGACCAGTTTCGTGAAAGACAGTCTTTCCAAGGACCAGGGGCTGGGGGATGGTTTCGGAATGATTCAAGCAGCGTTCATTATATTTATGGCGTACTTTATTCCTATTTTTATCGCATCAAGATCCACCTCAGATCATCAGGCGTTAGACCCTGGAGGTTGAGGACCCCTGCTTTACGACATCTATCCTGAGAAGCAAATGGCCAAGTCAATAGTTGCGTGTTTCCAGCGGAATGATAAACGTTGGGAAATTGGCCACCAGATGAGCTTGATGGTGTGTTGGGCAAAGCCAGATCTGTTTCACGTTTCAGTCTTGTGAGGGCAGCCCTCCAGTTTTAGAATCACATTTTTCCTGATGGCAGTGATACTTCCTTCATCCTTGATTGCACATAGGACCTTAAACAAGGACAGGACATGAGCGGGTGGACTCCAGGCTGAATGCTTTATTCTCCCAGCAACTCGTGAGGAACTGGGACTAGATCCTGCGGGGGTTCAGGGCAAAGGCAGGAAGAGATAAGGAATAGAATACTGTGATCTTATAGCCCTTCATGTCTTGTACTGGGGTAGTGAAAAGTAGACTTCACTGGAGACTTCCCTGGCGGTCCAGTCATTAAAACTTCTCCTTCCAATGAAGGGGGTATGAGTTTTATATCTGGTCAGGGAACTAAGATTCCACATGTCTCACAGCAAGAAAACCAAAACAGGAAATAGAAGCAATACTGTAGCAAATTCAACCAAGACTCTCCCCAGGGACGCAGACAGTAACACGAATCCTCCTGCAATGTAGGAGACCCAGGTCTGATCCCTGGGTCGGGAAGATCCCCTGGAGAAGGGAATGGCAACCCACTCCAGGATTCTTGCCTGGAGAATCCCATGGACAGAGGAGCCTGGCGGGCTATTGTAGTGCATGGGGTCACAGAGAGTTGGACATGACTGAGTGACGAACACTTTCACTTAAAAACAGTCCACATAAAAAAAAAAAAAAAATTTTTTTTTTAAATACTTTTATTGATCTCTGGACATTCACATACTAGACTGATCGGATGGTAAATTTTAAGCTACACAGAATTTTACTCGTAAAACAGCCTAAAAGTTTTCAAAACGTTTCTCACCAAAGACCATGTTTAAAATTTAGCAGGATAAATTGTACCAAAGTCTGGGTTTTGAATGGATGCCATTTTGAGAATAATGACTTTTTTTTGGTTTGTTTTCGGGAAAAAAAAGTATGTTTTAGTGGGGGCATTCGAGTGAAGGTTGCTTTAGGAATAACTAATGTAATGGATTTATTTTAACTGCAAATTTTCTAGCGACTTCAGTGTGTGGAGCGTGGAAATAAAAACGCATTCCAGAATGTTATGCTCTGAACCTGATGTCGATAGAATCCCCCCCCCCCCCAACCCCTCCGCCCAATAAAGTAGTGCCCGGTTTTGCCACTAAGGCAAAACGGCCTTTGACCTCTTAGGCCCACAAAGCATGTTTTAGGGGATGGAGGGGGTGTGATCACTCTGCGAAGCTGCATTTATAACATCTAAGGATGGAGCCGTGTGGTACACAGTCAGGGAAGAGGAGAGGGATTCTACCTTTTAGGACCACCGCCGCCAGAGTGTAAATGCAGCTTCAGGTTCCTAAGTTGTGGTGTGTGCGGGACAGAGCGGCCTTCAAGTCCAGCGAGAGGGCAGAGGGGAGGGCCCAAACACCAGAGAGAGATGCTAGAGAGAGATGCTGAAAGGGCTGCAGTGCTCCCGCATCCAGAAACGCACGCCCCCGCGGGACAGGCAGAGCCTTCTTGGCCGGCTGTGTCTCGGTGTTTGCAGCCTGCATGTCCACCATGTCGTCCCCTGCAGGTCTCTTCCAGAAGGCCATCATCCAGAGCGGGACCGCCTTGTCCAGCTGGGCCGTCAACTACCAGCCCGCCAAGTACACGCGCATCCTGGCAGATAAAGTGGGCTGCAACATGTTGGACACCACGGACCTGGTGGAGTGCCTGCGGAACAAGAACTACCGCGAGCTCATCCAGCAGACCATCACGCCGGCCACGTACCACATCTCCTTCGGGCCCGTCATCGACGGGGACGTCATCCCCGACGACCCCCAGATCCTCATGGAGCAGGGCGAGTTCCTCAACTACGACATCATGCTGGGCGTCAACCAGGGCGAGGGGCTCAAGTTCGTGGACGGCATCGTGGACCACGAGGACGGCGTGACGCCCAACGACTTCGACTTCTCCGTCTCCAACTTCGTGGACAACCTCTACGGCTACCCGGAGGGCAAAGACACGCTGCGGGAGACCATCAAGTTTATGTACACGGACTGGGCGGACAAGGAGAACCCGGAGACGCGCCGCAAGACCCTGGTGGCCCTCTTCACGGACCACCAGTGGGTGGCCCCCGCCGTGGCCACCGCGGACCTGCACGCCCAGTACGGCTCGCCCACCTACTTCTACGCCTTCTACCACCACTGCCAGAGCGAGATGAAGCCCAGCTGGGCCGACTCGGCCCACGGCGACGAGGTCCCCTACGTCTTCGGCATCCCCATGATCGGTCCCACCGAGCTCTTCAGCTGCAACTTCTCCAAGAACGACGTGATGCTCAGCGCGGTGGTCATGACGTACTGGACCAACTTCGCCAAGACCGGGTATGTTCTTCTCCTCCCCTCGCGCCATCGCGTTATTGCCCGCCCGGTTCCTCCTCAACGCATGCAGTTTCCGTGACCAGCTCGACCGCGGTCCACAGGCAGGCATGCACCTGACCAACCCAGAAATGAGAATAGTCATTTCCACCACCTCCCCTCCAACACAGAAGGGGACCTCGGTTCAATTTGACCCCTGAGTCCTCCTCTTTGAAACTGCGGTGCTCCCTCCCATGTTGAAAATTCTCCACGTGGTCCAGGCTGGGGTAGGAGTTAAACATTCTGGGCTATTCTAGTGATCGTCAGGCTGGAGTTTCAAATCTCGGTTTGGACCTAGTCTGGTGGGGGCTTTAGACACACTTGGCTATTCCGTTCAAAGTTGAGCTGGAGTTTCAAAGGTAGGTACGACCCTGTCTCATTCGGGATTCAGACATACTTGGTTGTTCCGTTCAAAGTTGAGTCGGAGTTTTAAATCCAGTTAGGGCCTTGTCTTGTCGGAGATTTGGACATACTTGGCTATTTTATCAAACGTTAAATGTTTTATCCAATGTTAAACTACATTAAACGTAGACTGGAGTTTCCACTCTACACAGGATCTTGAGTTGTTTGGTCAGTTGTTTGGTTATCAAAACACATCAGCCCCAGGGAAATTGTCTTTAGTGAAAAGCTGAGGGGTTAAATAAATCTGATAATGAGTATATAGAAATAATGTTTGTGTATATTGTATAGCTATATATTATATATGTCTATATATTATATATGTCTTTGCACATAAAATGGTGGCTATAGTGAAAGTCGCTCAGTTGTGTCTGACTCTTTGCAGCCCCATGGACTATAACCCACCAGGCTCCCGTGTCTGTGGGATTCTCCAGGCCAGAATACTGGAGTGGGTAGCCATTCCCTTCTCTTGGAGATCTTTCCAGCCCATGGATTGAACCCAGGTCTCCCGCATTGCAGGTGGATTCTTTACTGTCTGAGCCACCACTTAACTCATAAGTGTAGAGAAATCCTGTTTGTGCATATTTAAGATATATATATATACACACACATATATGTGTATATACTCACATAACATTTCTTCATATGAGTTATTGGATTTATTTATATATATTTACAAATATATTTTATTTATGTTGTGTATAAATATAAATATTTATACATTTATTTCATGTATATTTGCAAATATATTTATTTCATTTATATATAAGTATATGCTTTAATTTCATTACTATATATAAATTTCATATATTTGCCTAGATTTATCTGTATATCTGTCTACGTACAAATATAGAAAGCTCGTTGGCTAAATGCAGCAGAAAACACACCAGAGTTACATACGCAGTGGGGTCCACCCACATTCCCTGGAGCAGATTCTCTGAAGACAGAGAAATAAAACACTCCCCAGCATCTCAAGCAGCTCCCAGTATTACGGAATTTTCTCATTTTCTCTTGTCGAGTAACCTAATTGTGGGAAATAATGAGGTGTCTTTGTGTTCTACCTGTGTGTACTTCTGTTATTAACCTTGAGCTCCTGGTTCTGAATTTAAGATGAAGATGCTAAATCTTCCTGTTGACCGCCGGCGCAGGGGAGGGGTGGGTTGGGAGCGGAATTGGGCCCCCACGCTGCAGCCTCACCCAGCCCTGGTGAGAGGACGAGGGGAGGTGCAGAGGGTTAGCAAAGTTTGGGACCCCATGGACTGCAGCCCACCAGGCTCCTCTGTCCCTGGGAGTCTCCAGGCAAGAACACTGCCGTGGTTTGCCACGCCCTCCTCCAGGGGATCTTCCCCACCCAGGGGTAGAACCCACGTCTCCTGCATTGCAGGCAGATTCTTTACCCTCCGAGTCACCTGGGAAGCCCATCCTTCTTTTCCGTGTTTCCAAATATTCTCTGCTGGGAAGTGGGGTTTCTCAGTTTTAAGTTCCTCGGAAAAGACTTGAGTTTTTTTCTGAGCAGCACGTGTTGTGTGTGAAGGCCCTCTTCACGTGCTCCCATTTTATGAGTTTGATCTAAGGAAGACAGCGGGGAAGCAGGGAAGGTCATCGCCACCACAGGCAGAGATGCTCATCTGTCACCGCGAGGTTTTGTCTTCCACGGGGGAGATGATTTGAGTCAAGTTGGGAAGTGGTCGATGTTTTTACGGGGCCTTGTTTATTAGATCCCTGGGGCTGCTGCAACCCAGCACCAAAAACTGTTTGCCTCCAGACAACATACGTGTACTGTTGCACAGTTCTCAAGGCTTGAAGTCCACGCTGAAGGTGGGGCTGGCTGACCTCCATCCAAGACCTGTCGGGGGATGTTGCTGTGATGATTCTTAGCTCCTGGTGGGTTTGCTGGCACTGTTTGGTTCAGCCTGATTTAAAGCTACACCTCTCCAAGCTCTGGGTCCCTCATCACATGGTCCTCTACTAGTATGTCTGTCTTCACATGGCCAACCTCTTCTTTTTATTGAAATATAGTTGATTTACAATGTTGCATTAATTTCTGCTGTACAGCAAAGCAATTCAATTATATATATTTATATATATATAGTATATATACACTAATGGGTTTTCATCTTCTTTTTCATTCTGTTTTTGCTTTTCGTGTTGTTTTGTTGCTCACTCACATCCAATTCTTTGCGACTCTGAATCGTAGCCTGCCAGGGTCCTCTGTCCCTGCGATTCTCCAGGCAAGAGTACTGGAGTGTTTTGCCATGCCCTCCTCATTTAGCACATATATAGCTATTTTTTTTAGTTGACAGAAGTGCTCAATATATCTTCTGTGTGCCAAGTCTTTTCAGTCATGTCTGATTCTTTTACGACCCCCATGGACTGTAGTTCACCAGACTCCTCTGTCCATGGGATTCTCCAGGCAAGAATACTGGAGTGGGTGGCCGTTTCCTCCTCCAGGAGATCTTCCCAACCCAGGGATCAAACCTGCATCTCCTGCATCAGCACACGGATTCTTTCCCACTGAGCCAGCAGGGAAACCCTTATTCTGGTTTATTGCAGTATATTGGATATAGTTCCCTAAGCTCTGCATTATCCGTCCTGAATATAATGGTTTGAATCTGCTAATCCCAAACTCCTACCCCATCCTTTTCCCCACTATTCCCCTGCTCCTCGGCAACCATGTGTCTGTCCTCTTATGTCTATGAGTCTGTTTCCTAGCTAAGTTCATTCATGTCATATTTTAGATTCCACACATAACTGGTATCATGTGGTATTTATCTTTCTCTTTGTGACCTAACTTCGTACGATGACCTCCACGTAGGTCTATGCCCCACATTGCCACAGATGCCATTGTTCCATTCTTTTTTTTTTTTTATGGCCAGCTTCTTATAAGGCCACCAATCATATGGGTTTAGGAGTCCACCCCTCCTCCAGTATGACCTCTTCTTTTTTTCTTTTTCTTTTTTAAATTTTTGGGGACACCCCTTGGCTTGCAGAATCTTAGTTCTCCAACCAGGAGTCGAACCTGGGCCCTCTGCAGTGGGAACACAGAGTCCTCACCAGTGGAAGTCCTGGTATAACCTCGTTTTCCCTTGATTGAGGGCACATCTGCAATGACCCTGTTTGCAATAACATCACCCTGTGAGGACCTGGGGGTTAAGACTTAAGCATGTCTTAATTTGATGGGGATGCATTTCTGTGCATAACTCCTTTTAAAGGAAGGACAAATGCCCAGTTATATCAGGGAACTCAGATACGTGGCTGCTCTTGGCAAGTTTTGCCTTCCCTTGAAGCAAAGAACATTCACACAAACATTCCATGCACTGTGGCCATGCTCATCCATGATGGCAATGCCCTAACCCATCATAACTCCGTAATATCTAAACACAACATTGTGACTCACCTTTGTGAGAGCCACCCACTTTCTATTTCTCTTATGTGTTTTGAAAAAAAAAAAGTTTTTACATGACTTTCTTAAATGGAAAGCTAGGATCATTCATCATCCATTTAACAGAGCCATTAAAGAAAACTGAAAAATCCAAATAAAGCCATTAAACTCTCATTAGCTGTTCTCGCCTGCCAGAGGGTCTGAGATGAATTCTCTCTTGCTGTTATAAAAAAGAAAAAGAAAGAAAAAGGTAAAGGAAATTAATTAATGTCATGAGATGGTAGAGAAATACTTGCACAAAATGGGTACTTTAACCAGAATCTGTGAGCAACTAAGCTAGGATTGAAAATGTTGAGTGTTTGAAATGTTAAGTGCTTTTTTTTTTTTTAATGTAAGACTTTTTCTTTTGTTTGGTTTGTTTATTCATTTAGGGAAATTGAATTACTTCTATATATTGAAAGTGTTTATCGGAGGGAATTTGTTTCAGCTTCTAGATCTATTTTAACTATAATCAGAATATCAGGGTAAAGCGTTGAGTGGTTTTTGATGCTGTAATTCCATTTCCTAAAATCACTGGGTCAGATGCCTGTGGTCCACGCCCGTCATCTGAAGAACATAGTCTTGGAGACACAAAGCAACTTGGGCTTGATCGGTGCTCCAGTTTACTCTTGTGGTCATTAGTGGCGTGTGTTTAGGATACTTTGGGATTTCATAAAGTCACTAAAGTCACTGGTGCAGAAGAAATCAGGACCTAGCTTGGAGGAATAGCCCCATCTTCTGACCGGAGTCGAAAACTTCAGGTAGAGATGTCACTTGCAGTAGCAAGGTGAGACTGATGGATGGCCTTGGATGTTAGTCTGAACAATCTGGACTTTATCCAAGCAGGAGCTATTTTTGCTCCCGAGGTCTGCGTGGAGCATGGCTGAGATCATCCTTGGAGATGTTAATGCAGCGAGTTTTCACAACTCGTTTGAGAGGCCATGGGAATGACTCGAGTCATCTTCCAAGGAAGTTACTCAGACCTTCGTCTGACCTACAGTGCAAATGTGCAATTTCAGATGTAAGTCAGGGGAGGACCATTATTCAGTGGTGTGGTTAACCAGAAAACGGGAGACTGAGCGGATGGCAGAGATGGTGATCGAGGTGTTTGCCAATGTATGATACAGCTAGTTATGTATCTAACATA